AGCAAGATTCCATCTCAAAAAAAAAAAAAAAGATGTTTTTGAACCTCCTTCCAACTTTTGTGATGTCTGCAAATTTTTTTGTTTTCATTTTTGTTTTGGTAGTCTAGCTCTGATACCTAGGCAGGAGTGCAGTGGCACGCTCTTGGCTCACTGCAACCTCCATCTCACAGGTTCAAGCGATTCTCCTGCTTCAATCTCCCAAGCAGCTGGCACTTCAGGTGTGCACCATCATACCTAGCTGATTTTTTTGTATTTTTTAGTAGAGACATGATTTCATCATATTGGTCAGGCTGGCCTTGAACTCCTGACAGGAAATGATCCTCCCTCCTCACCCTCCCAAAGTGCTGGGATTACAGGAGTCAGCCACAGTGCCAAGCCAACATCTGCAAGTTTTACTTGTCATCTAGATCTTTGCCAAACTTGGATAGTGGATACCATTCTAAAGCCTAAGTTTTCCAGCCTGTAGGACACAGAATTAATTTAGTGGATCACAGCCAGCATTTAAAAAAATGAAATAGAATAGAAAAATATTACAGTCCATCACATTTAATAAGGGAGTTTTGTTTCAGGAAACTTTCGTTGAATGGGCATGGGACAAGAACGTGTGGTGTGTGTATGCATATGCTGGGTCTTGACGCAAATTGTTTTTGTAACTGGTTTGTGATCTGATAGCTTGAACATCACTGGTCCAAAGGAAAAATGGTTTGGGGCTGGCTTATATTATTTTCATTATAATATTATAACTTAATTTTGTATGAACATGAATCTGTGTGTCAGCTCATTGATCAAGTTCCTATAAAGTTCACAAATGTAGCCACTCGAGGTGGCTCATGCCTGTAATCCCAGCACTTTGGGAGGCTGAGGCAGGAGGATCACCTGAGGTCAGGAATTCAAGACCAGCCTGGCCAACATGGTGAAACCCCACCTCTAATAAAAATATAAAAAATTAGCCATGCATGGTGGCGCATGTCTGTAATCCCAGCTACTCGGGAGGCTGAGGCAGGAGAATCGCTTGAACCCAGGAGGCAGAGGTTACAGTGAGCTGAGATTGCACCACTGCACTCCAGCCTGGGTGACAAGCAAAAAACTTCTCCCCCCGCCCCCCAAAAAAACAGTTCACGTATGTAACTACAAAAAAAGCCAGTAAAATTCAAATTATCAGCATCATTCTGAGAGGGTGATGTTTGACTGAACCCAAATCAAATAATTGCTTTTCTGTGTAAGCATGGCACAGACTTGACACTTAGGCTCCTTGAGTTCTGCACACCCATCCTGTAGTGTGCCAATCAGTGTGACACAGTCCTCCCACTGCTTCTGAAGCCGTTTCACTTTGCACAGATGCGTTGTGAACTAAATGTCCAGAACGAAGTTGTCCTAATTAGCCCACAGTTATGGTGGTGCACTTATAAATACATACACAGGCCCTGAAATGTGCAGGACTTTGTTATGCAGCAGTCACCTGGTGATCTGTGGGGTGTGTGTGTGTGTGTGTGCGTGTGTGTATATTTAATTCTTTTTTTTTGAGACCGAGTCTCACTCTGTCACCCAGGCTGGAGTACAGTGGCATGATCTTGGCTCACTGCAACCTCTGCCTCCCTGGTTCAAGTTATTCTTCTGTCACTTCCCTGGTTCAAGCGATTCTCCTGTCTCAGCCTCCTGAGTAGCTGGGATTACAGGCGTGCACCACCATACCTGGCTAATTTTTGTATTTTTATAGAGATGGGGTTTCACCAAGTTGATCAGGATGGTCTCAAACTCCTGACCTCATGATCCCTGCCTCAGCCTCCCGAAGTGTCATGAGCCACCATGCCCGGGTATGTTCATTTTTAAAAAGGTGATTGGGCCGAGTGTGGTGGTTCATGCCTGTAATCACAGCACTTTGGGAGGCTGAAGCAGCGGGATTGCTTGAGCCCAGGAGTTTGAGAAAAGCCTGGGCAACATGGCGAAACCCTGTCTCTAGAAAATACACAAAAATTAGCTGGGTCTGGTGGTGTGCACCAGTGGTCCCAGCTACTTGGGGGGGTCAAGGTGGGAGGATCATATGAGCCCAGGAGGCAGAGGCTGCAGTGAACTGAGATCATGCCACTACACTCCAACCTGGCGACAGAATGAGACTGCATCTCCAAAAAAAAAAAAAAAAATCACCCCAGTTCGAGATACTGGTTGACCTTGCAGCAGCAGACTTCTTAGGTGGAGGCTTGCTCAGCTTAGCCCCACACAAACTAGACTATCATATTGCCCAAGTTTCTTCCCTTTTTGTTCACAAGAATATTATGAAAATGTCAGCCAGATACCTGTTGAAATGAAATACCCTAGTGTATACCATGCTCTTGATGTGTCCAACCAAAACCCTATGTTTTAAGAAACAGATTTGTTCAGCATGACTTGTTCTTTTACATTATAATACTTATTCCTTGTGGTCACTCCTTCCTTTCCTCAGTAGTTACAGTACTATTCAATCCTTTGTCCTAGGATTTTGCCAAGGATCAGTGCCTGTAATATCTCTGGATGTGCATATATAATTTTGCCCAGAGCTGCCCTCTGGCTCTGCACACATTTGCAGGTGTGTCTGCAAAGTCTCCCCTCTTCTGGAGTACAGTTTGTGTGGACTTCAGGCCTGGTAACCATTTAAGGCACTGGTGTGCTTTCTTACCAGCTCATCACCGTATCCAGGGCTTCAGTTTCCACTTCACCTTTTTTTTTTTTTTTAAATGGAGATGGAGGTCTTGCTGCATCACTCAAGTAACTGGGACCACAGGCATGTGCCACCATGTCAGGCTAATTTTTAAATTTTTTGTAGAGATGGGGTCTCCCTATGTTGCCCAGGCTGGTCTCGAACTCCTGAGCTCAGGCAATCTGCCTACCTCAGCCTCCCAAAGTGCTAGGATTACAGGCATAAACCACCACACCTGGCCCAATACCTATCCTCTTTTTGCCAAATTCCTTAGAAGGGCTCAACCCCTTTTTGTTTGAGATGGGATCTTGCTATGTTATCCAGGCAGGAATGTTGTGGCTGTTCACAAGTGTGATATAGGGCACTGCAGCCTCAAATTCCTGGCCTCAAATGATCCTTCCATCTTAGCCTTCCAAGCCAAATGCACCCTGAGCCTTTTTTTCTTTTTTGAGTCTTCAAAGTAATACCCCTCTTATTTCTGTACTTACTGAAATCTGCTTTCCAAAGGTCCGGATTCAAGTCTGGATTCTACCTGGTGTTCTGTTCTGTTCTTTTTTTTTTCTTAGTGATTTATGAACTTTAAGATGGCATAGATTCTTTCTTCTAAAATTCTCATGACTTTCATTTTCCTGATCTTGTGTTTTTTTCTTTTTTAAAATTTTTTTATCAGGGACAGGGTCTACCTATGTTGCTTAGGCTGGTCTTGAACTCCTGGGCTCAAGCAATCTTCCCACCTCAGCTTCCCAAAGTGCTAGGATAACACGCATGAGCTATTGTACCTGGCCTCTTTTAGATGACTTTAGAGCACAGTGGAGAGTGCCTTCATTACTTCCTCAAACTTATTTTTCTTTTTTTTTTTTTAAAAAGTACAATAGAGTATATTTGTCATGGGAAAATGAGAAAATAAACAAGGTACAAATTAAAGTCAAACAAAACTCTACCACTAAGAGATAATGGCTTAAGACTTTTTCCTATTTGGTTATATTCATATATAGAAATATATACACACGGGCCAGGTGCGGTGGCTCGTACCTGTAATCCTTGCACTTTGGGAGGCCGGGCAGGCAGATCACGAGGTCAAGAGATCAAGACCATCCTGGCCAACATGGTGAAACCCTGCCTTTACTGAAAATACAAAAATTAGCTGGGCATGGTGGTGCATGCCTATAGTCCCAGCTACTTGGAAGGCTGAGGCAGGAGAATCACTTGAAACCTGGGAGGCAGGGGTTGCAGTGAATTGAGATCACGCCACTGTACTCCAGCTTGGCAACAGAACGAGACTCTGTCTCAAAAACAAAAAAAGAAATACATACACATTTAAACAAAAATAGAATTTACTGTTTTCCTTCTCCTGTTATACCCAGTTAGTGATTAGCTCTACCGAGTCTTGGTTGATGCCTGTGGGCCTATGCCTGTTATACTATGTAAAAGTGTAAATTCATGTAAAGAATTGACCTGTGTGTCGTATATGCTGCCTAGGGTCACCAGCCTTTGTGGTGAAGGCTGAGCATAAAACATCCAAGACTTGGGAATGGAGGAGGTATGTCCTCCTTGTCAGAAATCCTGGCTGAGCCATGCTTCCCTGTCAGTTTTGGCATCTGTCTACAGCAGGAGTTTGCAGGAGGCTTGAGTTAGAGCTAGAGGGTTAGCTGGGAAGTTCCCTCTGCCCATCATAGAGGGGTTCCAGGTTAGCTATGAAGAGCCAGCAGTGCCCAGCAGAGAGGGCATAGCTGAGTTACAGAAGGGAGTCCTGGTATAGTCTTGGTTATTTTCATGTTATCCCAGACTGTGGTGGCTGGAGGGGGCAGGACCAGCTGTCCTCACAGCCTCAGATGGCTGAGTCTAAGGAGAGGAGAAGGTCATCTTCTGAAATAGATATAAGGCTGTCAGCCTAGGGTGGGGAAGTCTGGGGAAAAGCATTAACTTACCTTGGAGAAGCAGCAACAAATAGAGGCAAAAAGAAATTTGGCTGGGTGCCTGTAATCCCAGCACTTTGGGAGGCTGAGGTGGGCAGATCACAAGGTCAGGAAAATGAGACCATCCTGCCTAACACGGTGAAACCCCATCTCTACTAAAAACACAAACAATCAGCCGAGTGTGGTGACATATGCCTGTAATCCCAGCTACTCAAGAGGCAGAGGCAAGAGAATCGCTTGAACTTGGGAGGCATAGGTTTCAGTGAGCCGAGATCAAGCCACTGCACTCCAATCTAGGCAACAAGAGCAAAATTCCATCTCAAAAAAAAAAGAAAAGAAAATCTGAAGCAAGTGGGCTTGGGTTCTTTTTGGGCATCTTATACATTACTCCATCTCTTTTCTTCCAACAGATTCACAGACCAGCATGGCTGCTACTGCCGCTGTCAGTCCCAGTGACTACCTGCAGCCTGCCACCTCTAACACCCAGGCGAGTGGGCAGTGGGCTCTAAGGGCTTGGGGCTGCAGCATCCTGGACAGACTCACTGAAAACACTCTCTGTCTTCACTGTCTCACTGTAAATATCCTAGGTTATACAACTGGGGAAGATTCAGTTAGCCAAGTTTTCTTTACTGAGAAACCATGGTCATTTACCTAAGGTGCCACAGGTGGGTCAAGGGGAAAAACAAGGATTAAACTCAATGTTCCTTCCACCAGACCTCACTACATATGAAAGGAAAACAGAGGCTCTCTCATTGTTTCAAAAGTTCAGCCCGCCACAATGTATAAAGTTATATGTTCTGAGTACTAAAAAGCACTTTACCGAAATGTTTATTCCTCCTTTTGCCCCTCTATTTCTTTTTTCCTCCCTCCTCTCCTCAGCTGAGCAATCAGGGACACCTCAATCCCCGGGATGGGCTAATGAAACTCCATCTAAGAGCCAAACATGCTTCACTGTCCTTAGAAACAAGGCCAGTGGGAAGTAGGAAGTCAGCTCACATTGTTAGGAACCCTATCCTTGGGGTGCTGCCTGGGGTTCCTTCCTGAGAAAGATACTGCCCACCTTTTCTCCCTCTCTTAATGGAGAAACCAGTAGAGAAAGGGAGACGGGTACCAATCAGGGGAGGATGCTGGCAACATGCCTGCCACAGAGGTGGGGAGGAGTGGTGTGGAATGCCACCAGGAGAGGATCATGGACAGAGGCGGCTGGGCAGCGTGCATCCTTTCTCATTCCTTCTCTCTGCTGTTTTTTTTTGCAGGACTCCCAGCCATCTCCCTTAGCCCTGCTTGCTGCAACATGTAGCAAAATTGGCCCCCCAGCAGTTGAAGCTGCTGTGACACCTCCTGCTCCCCCGCAACCCACACCGCGGAAACTTGTCCCTATCAAACCTGCCCCTCTCCCACTCAGCCCCAGCAAGAATAGCTTTGGAATCTTGTCCTCCAAAGGAAATATACTTCAGATTCAAGGGTCACAACTGAGCGCCTCCTATCCTGGAGGGCAGCTGGTGTTCGCTATCCAGAATCCCACCATGATCAACAAAGGGACCCGATCAAATTCCAATATCCAGTACCAGGCTGTCCCTCAGATTCAGGCAAGCAGTTCCCAAACCATCCAAGTGCAGCCCAATCTCACCAACCAGATCCAGATCATCCCTGGCACCAACCAAGCCATCATCACCCCCTCACCGTCCAGTCACAAGCCTGTACCCATCAAGCCAGCCCCCATCCAGAAGTCGAGTACGACCACCACCCCAGTGCAGAGCGGGGCCAATGTGGTGAAGTTGACAGGTGGAGGCGGCAACGTGACGCTCACTCTGCCCGTCAACAACCTCGTGAACACCAGTGACACTGGGGCGCCCACTCAGCTCCTCACTGAAAGCCCCCCAACCCCGCTGTCTAAGACTAACAAGAAAGCAAGGAAGAAGAGCCTTCCTGCATCCCAGCCCCCTGTGGCTGTGGCTGAGCAGGTGGAGACAGTGCTGATTGAGACTACCGCTGACAACATCATCCAGGCAGGAAACAACCTGCTCATTGTTCAGAGCCCTGGTGGGGGCCAGCCAGCTGTGGTCCAGCAGGTCCAGGTGGTACCCCCCAAGGCTGAGCAGCAGCAGGTGGTGCAGATCCCCCAGCAGGCTCTGCGGGTGGTACAGGCGGCATCTGCCACCCTCCCCACTGTCCCCCAGAAGCCCTCCCAGAACTTTCAGATCCAGGCAGCTGAGCCAACACCTACTCAGGTACCATACCCCCTGTACTATCCTCCTCTCCTTCCTCTTCCTCTGATTACCTCTTCTTGGCTTGCTTTGAAGATGATGCTGATCATCTAGCTTGATATGACCTTTGGGAGTCAGAATGTTTTGGGGTGGGCAGTAAGTGACCATTTCTACCTGACAAATGTGCTCTCAAGTTCATAGGGCCAAGTACTGCTTATCTTTAGAAATTAGATGAATGAGACATAGGGGTATTTTGGCCCTTTTTCTTTATGGTTTTTTTTTTGGGGGGGTGGAAAGGGGACAGATACATAATTTTAAAATAACACTTATTTTTGATTATAGAATTACATACTCAGTAGCAAGAATGAAAACATTCTAATCCATTTCATTCCAAGAATGAAAACCACAGAATTTTATGTGGAGTAAGAAAATTAATGAGAAAAATGATGATCATTATTAATGAATGACAAGAAAACAACAGGAAGAGCAGCCCAGCTTTATAGCAGGAATATTTAGGCTAGATTCATCTGGAATGTTTGTTTGTTTTAGGGTGGTTTTTTTTTTTTGAGACAGGGTCTTACTCTGTTGTCCGGGATGGAGTGTAGTGATGCAGTCACTACAGTCTCAATTTCCTTGGGCTCAAGCGATCCTCCCACCTCAGCCTCCAAGTAGCCAGGAATACAGGTGTATGCCACATGCCAGGCTGAGCCACTGCTCTCTGCCAAACCGGGATGCTGAAATTCAACAAGAAAGTTCTTATTTTTGGCATTTATTAATGTGCTCTAATACTCTGGAATCTCTTTGGTTCTTTGAGGCAAGTTTTATTCTTTGTGCATGCCTACGAAGTGCCAGAAATTGTGCCCATGTTGCAGATGGAGAACCCAGAACTCAGAGAATTTATGAAGTATCCAAGATCAAATAGGACATAAATGACAGGAGTCAGGAGTCAACTCAGATTTGTAACTTCAGAGTCTCACTCTGCTGCCCAGGCTGGAGTGCAATGGTGTCATTTGGGCTCAATGCAACCTCTGCCTTTCAGAGGAGTTTGGGATTACAGGTGCTTGCCACCACACCCGGCTAATTTCTGTATTTTTAGTAGAGACGGGGATTTCATCCTGCTGGTCAGGCTGGTCTCAAATTTCCGACCTCAGGTGATCCACCTGCCCTGGCCTCCCATAGTGCTGGGATTACAGGCATGAGCCACCACACCTGGGCAATTCTTGTGTCTTAGGTGTAGCAGATGCTACCATTAAAATTGGGGAGCGCTATTTTTTTAATGTAAAAAACAGTTCTGGCCAGGCGTGGTGGCTCATGCCTGTAATCCCCTTGGGAGACTGAGGTGGGTGGATGGCTTGAGGTCAGAAGTTCAAGACTAGCCTAGCCAACACATGGTGAAACCCCATCTCTAATAAAAAAAATTAGGCCGAGTGTGGTGGCTCACACCTGTAATCCCAGCACTTTGGGAGGCAGAGGCAGGCAAATCACCTGAGGTCGGGAGTTCAAGACCAGCCTGACCAACATGGAGAAACCCCGTCTCTACTAAAAATTAGCTTGACCCGGTGGTGCATGTCTGTAATCCCAGCTACTCATGGGGCCGAGGCAGGAGAATTGCTTGAACCTGGGCGGCAGAGGTTGCCACAAGCAGAGATTGTGCCATTGCACTCCAGCCTGGGCAAAAAAAGTGAAACTCTATCTAAAAAAAGTTAGCTGAGCATGGTGGCAAGCACCTGTAATCCCACCTACTTGGGAAGCTGAGGCAGCAGAATCGCTTGAACCCGGGAGGCAGAGCTTGCAGTGAGCAGAGATAGAGCCATTGCACTCCAACATGGGCAACAGAGTGTGACTCTGTCTCAAAAAAAAAAATTCCTCCCATTGAGGAATTTATGATTTAGTTTTCTCTAGAGGGAGAACTGAATGACTGACAGTGGGAAGTTGTATAATTTTCTGGGTGGAGAAGACAGCCCTTGAATTTGAGTTGTGGACATAGAAGTCACACAGGAATTGACCCTTCTGGCATATTTTATGTTGTGAGGTGGTTTTTTAAATAAGTCTTTTTCACAATGTCTATGAATTCCTATGATCAGACCTACCTTACAGGTGAAGAATTGGGGCACCTGCTCAGGTGCACATCCTCAGCATTGCCTCCCCTCCCTTCCATGAGGTCCCATATCTTGAGCTTGATGGAGACAGGACTTAAACCCAGGTCTTCCCTAAGGAAATAATGATACATATGCAGAAAGATTTGGCTACAGCCTTATTTTTTCATGACTACACATGCTTTATATCATCCCAACATGCTGACTATTATACAACCGATACCCTGTTACCTGTATATATCTAGGTTATTTCCAATCTTGTAGCTAAATAAATCCCTAAAAGTGGGTCAAGGACATGCACATTTTAAAACAATTTGTATTCTATATTAGAGGTTTGCAGTCTGCAACCAACTTTCAAGCCAAATCTAGCCCACCCACCTGGTTTTGTAAATGAAGTTTAATTGGAACACAGACACATCCATTTGAGTTGCCCTTGCACTACAGTAGCAGAGTTAAGTGGCAGAGACAATATGGCCCACAAAGCCTAAAATATTTACTGTCTGGCCCTTTATAAAAAAACCTTGCTTTGCTTTTGATTTTACAGGATAAAGAAAAAAAAAAGCTTGCTAAACCTTCAGATTCAAATACACACATACTCATGCATGCATACACACACACACACACAAAATCAGACATAAAATATCAGTGATTTGAAAAAAGGGCACATATCAGAAAATTGGGAATGAGATTTGCATATTTACTAAGAGATGGGCCAGGCGAGGTAGTTTATACCTGTAATCCCAGCACTTTGGGAGGCTGAGTCTAGAGATCGCTTGAGCCCAGGAATTCAAGACCAGCCTGTGCCATAGGAGGACTCTATCTCTACAAAAAAATTTTTAAATTTAAAAATTAGCGAGGTGTGTTAGTGTACGCCTGTAGCCCTAGCTGCTCAAGGAGGCTGAGGTGGGAGCATCACTTGAGCCCATGAGTTCGAGGCAGCAGTGAGCTATGATCATGCTACTGCATTTTAGCCTGGGTGACAGAGACCCTGGCTCTATTAAAAAAATAAGTACATAAATAAATAAATGAAAAGAGACAGGCTGTTTGTTAGCTTTTAAGTAAGAAGAAACACTCATAAATAATCCAGGAATTAAAAATAACTCCAATCAAAATCACAGCAGGATTTTTTTTTTTACAAAGAACTTTTTTCCTCTTTACTCAGTTGAGTGTAAATTGCCACTATGATCCCCCTTGTCACTTCTGAATATTTTAATTCCTACACACAAGGACATTCTACTTTACCACAATACAGTAGTCAAACCCAGGAAATTAGCAATGAAATACACGACTAATTCCAAGACCCCACTAAGTTTTCACCACTTGCCCCACTAATTCCTTTGTGGGGAAAGAGTCTGATCCAGTATTACACATTACATTAAGTTGTGTCCTTAGTCTGTTTTGATCTGAAACACTTCCTCATTTTTTTTTTAATTGTATTTTAGGTTTTGGGGTACATGTGAAGAACATGCAAGATAGTTGCATAGGTACATACGTGGCAGGGTGATTTGCTGCCTTCCTCCCCTTCACCTATATCTGGCATTTCTCCCCATGCTATCTCTCCGTAACTCCCCACCCCCCACTGTCCCTCCCCTATTCCCCCCAACAGACCCTAGTGTGTAGTGCTCCCTTCCCTGTATCCATGTGTTCTCATTGTTCATCACCTACCTATGAGTGAGAACATGCAGTATTTCATTTTCTGATCTTGTGTCAGTTTGCTGAGAATGATGTTCTCCAGGTTCATCCATGTCCCTACAAACAACACGAACTCATCGTTTTTGATTGCTGCATAATATTCCATGGTGTATATGTGCCACATTTTCCCAGTCCAGTCTATCATCGATGGGCATTTGGGTTGACTCCAGGTCTTTGCTATTGTAAACAGGGACGCAATGAACATTTGTGTGCATGTGTCCTTATAGTAGAACGATTTATAATCCTTTGGATATATACCCAGTAATGGGATTGCTGGGTCAAATGGAATTTCTATTTCTAGGTCCTTGAGGAATCGCCACACCATCTTCCACAATGGTTGAACTAATTTACACTCCCACCAGCAGTGTAAAAGTGTTCCTATTTCTCCACATCCTCTCCAGCATCTGTTGTCTCCAGATTTTTTAATGATCGCCATTCTAACTGGCGTGAGATGGTATCTCAATGTAGTTTTGATTTGCATTCCTCTAATGACCAGTGATGATGAGCATTTTTCATATTTTGTTGGTCTCATGTATGTCTTCTTTTGTAAAGTGTCTGTTCATATCCTTTGCCCACTTTCGAATGGGCTTGTTTGTTTTTTCTTGTAAATCTGTTTTAGTTCTTTGTAAATTCTGGATATCAGCCCTTTGTCAGATGGGTAAACTGCAAAAATTTTTTCCCATTCTGTTGGTTGCCGATTCACTCTAATGACTCCTCATTCTTTACTTGACTGTCATGACCTTGACACTTTTGAAGGCTCAAGGTCAACTCTGGCCATTGGCAGCTTTCTCAGGTTGGCTCTTAATATCCCTCTGACAGGCTTTCATTCTTTTTTTAATAAAATCAGCTTTATTGAGACATTCACATACTATGAAACTCACCCTTTTAAAGTATACAATTCAGGGATTTTTACTATATTCAGAGTTGTGCAGCCATTACCTCTATATAATTTTAGAACATTTTCATCACCCCAAAAAGAAACTCTCTACCCTTTAACCTCACTCCCCATTTATTTCCTCCTCCCCGCAGCCCCTGGAAACCACTAGTCTATTTTTAATGTTTTCAAGGTTCATCCATGTTGTAGCACATGTCCGGTGACTGGCCTCCTTCACTTAGCATGTTTCAGGGTTCATCCGTGTTATAGCATGTGTCTGAACTTCATTCCTTGTATTGTCCCAGCCTCAGCCTTAGGATCAACCATTTCTTCTAGGATTCCTGGTTCCTCTCATTGAACAATATGATGGCCTTTTTTTTTTACATTTTATCATTCTCTTCCTCCCCATTTATTTATTTATGTCATTATGGACTCACAGATTCTTTTTTTCTTTTTTTTTTTTTTTTTTGTGATGGAGTCTTGCTCTGTCGCCCAGGCTGGAGTGCAGTGATGCGATCTTGGCTCACTGCAACCTCTGCCTCCCAGGTTCAAGTGATTCTCCTGCCTCAGCCTCCTGAGAAGGAGTGAGACTACAGGTGCACACCACCATGCCCAGCTAATTTTTGTATTAGTAGAGATGGGGTTTCACTATGTTGGCCAGGATGGTCTTGATCTCCTGACCTCATGATCTGCCTGCCTCAGCCTCCCAAAGTGTTAGGATTACAGGTGTGAGCCACTGCGCCCGGCCTGTTTTTTGTTTTTTGAGATGGAGTCTTGTTCCGTCACCCAGGCTGGAATGCAGTATTGCAATCTTGGCTCACTGCAACCTCCACCTCCTGGGTTCAAGCAGTTCTCCTGCCTCAGCCTCCCTAGTAGCTGGGATTATAGGAGTGCACCATCACTCCTTGCTAATATTTTTTTTGTATTTTTGGTAGAGACAGGTTTCACCATTTTGAAGCTGGTATCAAACTGCTGACCTCAAGTGATTCACCTGCATCGGCCTCCCAAAGTGCTGGGATTATAGGTGTGAGCCACCAAACCCAGCCAGATTCCAGTTTGTTTGTTTGTTTGTTTGTTTGTTTGAGACGGAGTTTTGCTCTTGTTAACCAGGCTGGAGTGCACTGGCGCGATCTCGGCTCACCGCAACCTCCGCCTCCTGGGTTCAGGCAATTCTCCTGCCTCAGCCTCCTGAGCAGCTGGGATTATAGGCACGCGCCACTGTGCCCAGCTAATTTTTTGTATTTTGAGTAGAGACGGGGTTTCACCATGTTGACCAGGATGGTCTCGATCTCTTGACCTCGTGATCCATCCGCCTCGGCCTCCCAAAGTGCTAGGATTACAGGCTTGAGCCACCGCATCCAGCCTGTTTGTTTGTTTTTGAGACAGGGTCTTGCTCTTGTCACCTAGGCTGGAGTGCAGAGGTGTGATTTCGGCTCACTGCAGCCTCCACCTCCCAGGTTCAGGTACTTCTCCTTCCTCAGCCTCCCGAGTAGCTGGGATTACAGACATGCACCACCACGCTGGGCTAATTTTTATATTTTTAGTAGAGACGGTATTTCACCCTGTTGGCCAGTCTAGTCTCAAACTCCTGACCTCATGATCTGCCTGCCTTGACCTCCCAAAGTGCTGGGATCACAGGCATGAGCCACCACGCCTGGTCCAGATTCCTGTTTTATTTACTGGGTTATAATCTGTTAGTACTATTATTTTGATGTTTCCATTGACCTAGATTTGGCCAGTGGCAGCCCCTTTAAGCTGGCTTGTATCTTTCCAAGTCCCCACCATTCTGTAAGCATTTCTTTACTTTCTGGTACAAGTGTTCCAAGATTTTCTTGTACCTTCCCTGCCCCCACCCTGGAATCAGCTGTTTCTCCAAGGAGCTGGGTTCCTTTTAGTGGAGCATGTAAGTAACAATCTAAGGCCTGGATGCTAGGTAAGCTCATTCCTACTGGGCATGGCTGGTCCCAGCCGTTCTCAATGGACACAGCTAGGAAGTATATATAAATAGACATACCTATGCAATGCCTACATAGATAGATGGAGATAGATAAACTTATGTAAGGGCATACATAACATATATACACGTACATATATATACACATTTGAATCTATATATCTCTGTCTATATATATTAAAACCCACGAGTTTCCATCAATGTCTCTAATTCCCATCTAGCACCACAGCATTCCATCTAGCCTTCTTCTTTTCGATAACTCCCTTCTGTGACAGTGGGAGCCCTCACCCCGACTATCCTTAACATACTTCCTTTCTGTGTAAGTCCTCCAGTATGCAGCCAGCCTGCCACCGGCACAGACACCCTCCTCCCTGCTGCAGATGCCCTCCTTGTCCCACTCAGACTCTAACATGCATATTTTTAAGGTTTTTTGATACATATTCTCAAATTTCCTTCCGGCAAGGTTAGCCCCACATCATATTTCCACTCCTAATATACAAGTAAGTGCCTGTTTCCCGCTGTCTCACCAACAATGAGCACATTTTGTTTTCCCTCTTTGCCAATCTGGAGAAAAGTTGTTTTTCATTAATATGTGGCTTTATTTTTTCTGATTACGAAGACCAGAAACTTTTTTTTTTTTTTTGAGACAGCATCTTGCTCTGTCACCCAGGCTAAGTGCAGTAGAGGGATCATAGTTTCCTATAACCTGGAACTCCTGGGCTCGAAGATGTGACTCTTAAAAACCAAAGTGAACCATTGTTGTTTGTTTGATGGTAATTCACAGTGCACTGCCTTCTAAATCTCCAGTTCTGATAGTTGGCAATTATATTTTTCCATGCTAAGTAAATTAAATGTTTGGTTTCAAATCAATAGTCAACATTCACCATCTTAGTATAGGATGCCAGCAGCCCTTTGTTGAGCATCAGCTGTGTATAAATTTAGGTTTAGGTGATTTGAGAGGAAGAGACTTTTGGCTGACGGGTGCCCCCAGTTCTCACTTGGGCAGGAACATTTGAAGGCCCCAGAAGCCTAGTCTCTTCCAGGCACTGACTTTTTTCTCTCTGGCCCCTTACAGGTCTACATCCGTACGCCTTCTGGTGAGGTGCAGACAGTCCTTGTCCAGGACAGCCCCCCAGCATCAGCTGCGGCAACCTCTAACACCACCTGTAGCAGTCCTGCATCCCGTGCTTCCCATGTCAGTGGGACCAGCAAAAAGCACTCAGCTGCAATTCTCCGAAAAGAACGTCCCCTGCCAAAGATTGCCCCCGCTGGGAGCATCATCAGCCTGAATGCAGCCCAGTTGGCAGCAGCTGCCCAGGCAATGCAGACCATCAACATTAACGGTGTCCAGGTCCAGGGCGTGCCTGTCACTATCACCAACACAGGCGGTGAGGATGGCCCCTGTGGCCAGGGCGGTGAGGATGACCCCTGTGGCCATAGTGGTACCAGTGCTCTTAGCAGGTGAAAACTATGGGTTGGCCCCAGGATTCCCAGTAACAATAGTGAGGATATGTCCAGCTTGAGGGCATGTCTACCTGCAGTTTCTCACCTAGTCCTTACAGGAGCATTCACATAGTTTAAGGCACATGTCTCCATCTGACAGCTAAAGACAGAGAAGACAGATGTACTCGGGAAACTTTCCAACTAACATCTAAACACAAAAATGGCTTCTTGGAGGAGAAAGCCTTGAGTTAAGGTTGGAAGAAAAGGAGGGAGCCCCAGGCAGTGGGAATAATTTGTGCTGCACTTCAGTTCAGTGGTAAGATTTATGCCGTGAAACCAGCCTGGCAAATAACCAGGGGGAAAATTGGAGCAACCTAGCCATTTTGCCCTTAAGCAAAAATGGCTCCTTATCTAGTGGGAGCTCTCTGAATTTCTCTTCATCCTTAATGAATTTTTAGCAGTTTAACACATTTGATTTCCCCTCTTGAAGTGACCCCCAAGAGGATAAGGTATCCTAGAGGATCTGATTTTTTTTCCAAAGCCCATAGAACTGTGTCCTTTTATTTGTTGTTGGTTTTTTGTTTTTGTTTTTGTTTTCTGAGACATGGCCTCAGGGCCTCGCTCTGTCACCCAGGCTGGAGTGAAGTGGCATGATCATGGCTCAGTGCAGCCTCAACCTCCTGGGCTCAAGCAGCCCTTCTACTTCTGCTTACTGAGTAGCTGGGACTACAGGCATTTAGAACCATGCCTGGCCAATTTTTTAGTTTTTTGTAGAGATGGGATCTCCCTATGTTGCCCAGGCTGGTCTTGAACTCCTGGACTCAAGCAATTCTCCTGCCTCCCAGAGTGCTGGGATTACAGGTATGAGCCACTGTACCTGGCCTTGAACTCTGTCTTATTAATAGAAATCCCTGGAGACTTTCCTAAAAGCAGAGTTGATACCTCACAAGGGCCAAAGGTTGGAGAAGATTCAGGAAGAAATATCCAAGACAAGACCCTTCCCAACTGAAATCATGTGGGCAGTATTTTAAAGCAGATTCTGCCTGCATGGTACAGTGGTTCAGGGCATGGGCTTCCTGGGTTCAGATCTGGGTTCTACCACTTACTAGCTGTGTGACCTTGATATGTTATTGAGCCTCAGTTTCATCTGTAAAGTGCTGATGATAATACCTATTTTATGGGGTCATGAACATTAAATGAGTGAATACATACAAGATCCCTAAAATGGTATCTGACATACAGCAGGCTCTCAAAAATACCTGCTATGATTATCATCTTTGTCATGTGCAGAAGGGCAGAAAGGTCGACTGGAGATTTCAGGCTTCCTCACCCTGAACTCTGCCTTCTTTGTCCCCACAGGGCAGCAGCAGCTGACAGTGCAGAATGTTTCTGGAAACAACCTGACCATCAGTGGGCTGAGCCCCACCCAGATCCAGCTGCAAATGGAACAAGCCCTGGCCGGAGAGACCCAGCCCGGGGAAAAGCGGCGCCGCATGGCCTGCACGTGTCCCAACTGCAAGGATGGGGAGAAGAGGTAATTCAAGGAGAGGGGCCAAGCCACAAGGCTGGTCTAACTTCTCCAAGCCCCTCCTGCACAGTTGTCCAGGGCTGCAAGCTGGCACAGACCAGGTGGGGAAGAGCTGGTGGCTCTATGCCACCTTGCCTCCTGCCTCCTTGTGCTTTCTGACCTGACCCCACATCCTCACTGCATCCCATTCCTGCCCCCATCCTCTACCTCTTTTCTCTCCTCTTCCCATTCCCTTCACTCCACCCTTACCCCAACTCTCAGGTCTGGAGAGCAGGGCAAGAAGAAGCATGTGTGCCATATCCCCGACTGTGGCAAGACGTTCCGTAAGACATCCTTGCTGCGTGCCCACGTGCGCCTGCACACTGGTGAGCGGCCCTTTGTCTGCAACTGGTTCTTCTGTGGGAAGAGGTTCACACGGAGTGACGAGCTCCAGCGGCATGCTCGCACCCACACAGGTCAGCTTCCTGCCTCTCCCCCCATCCCCACTCTATGACCCTTAGCAACACTGACACTCCTGGAACTACCACACTGAGCAAGAGCTACAGACTGTCCAGGGACAGCATAAGAAATTATTTTCAAGCCATTCCATTATCACTGTTGTTTCCCAAAGTAATGGGAAAAGAATAGTTGTTATTGCATGACACAACCTGATAACTTTGCCATGTCCATATAGTTATTTAACAAACACTGACATAGTGTACCAGGTACAGTACTAAGCACTTTACACCTCAGTTGATCCTGGTGAGTGAAGTGGCACAATTTTGGCTCACTGCAACCGCTGCCCCACCGGGATCAAGCAATTCTCCTGCCTCAGCTTCCTGAGTAGCTGGGATTACAGGCACCCACCACCATGCCCAGCTAATTTTTGTATTTTTAGTAGAGACGAGGTTTCACCATGTTGGCCAGACTGGTCTCGAACCCCTGACCTCAGGTAATCTACTCACCTCAGCCTCCCAAAGTGCTAGGAATACTGGTGTGAGCCACCACGCCCAGCCTGTTGATGCCCATTTTACTGAGGAATGGAGAAGTGGTGGCCCAGTCACACAGCTAGTGACTGGTGGAGACCCGGCCTTTTTTTTTTTTTTTTTGAGACAGGATCTCACTCTGTCACCCAGGCTGGAGTGCAGTGGCACAATCTTGGCTCACTGCAGTCTTGAACTCCTGGGCTCAAGCGATTCTCCAACCTCAGCCTCCTGAGTAGCTGAGACTACAGGCGTGTACTGCCACACCCGGCTAATTTTTAAATTTTTGGTAGAGACAGTTTCTCACTGTGTTGCTAGGCTGGTCTCAAACTCCTGGGCTCAGTTGATCCTCCTTCCTCTGCCTCCCGAAGTTAGATATCACAGTTACAGTTTTATGTACTGGCAAGTCAATGCAAAACTATTAAAAATATTGATCCCGTGGTGGCTCATGCCTGTAATCCCAGCACTTTGGGAGGCCGAGGCAGATGGATCATGAGGTCAGGAGATCAAGACCATCCCGGCCAACATGGTGAAACCCCGTCTCTCCTAAAAAAAAAAAAAAAGGTTGATTCAGGCTGGGCACAGTGGTTCACACCTGTAATCCCAGCACTTTGGGAGGCTGAGGCAGGTGATCACTTGAGCCCAGGAATTTGAGACCAGCCAGGGCAACATAGCAAGACCCCCATCTCTTAAAAATACAAAGTTCATCCATCTACCACCTGAAATTGCCCTGGGTATCCACAGTGGTCCACACACACACTTTTGGCAAACATTGCTATAGTGAATGCCCAGAGTGAGCAGACACCTGTCCTGGGGCAGATCACCTGAGGTCAGGAATTTGAGACCAGCCTGGCCAACATGGCAAAACCCCATCTCTACAAAAACATAAAAATTATCTGGGCACAGTAGTGGGCACCTGTAGTCCCAGCTACTTTGGAGGCTGAGATCGGAGAACTGATTGAACATAGATAGAGGTAGAGGTTGCAATGAGCATAGCTTGTGCCCCAGTGCACTCCAGCCTGGGCAACAGAGCAAGACTCCATCTCAAAAAAAAAAAAAAAAAAAAAAAAAGATTTAGAAGCATAGGCACCAGGGAGCAAATGTGAGAGCAGGAGATGGGCAGAATGTGGTGACAAGGCCATGTCAGCTTGATTGGGTGCCCCTCACATGCACCCCACCTTTTTGGGCAGGGGCAGGGTTTATGCACAGGGTCTGTGGGTGATGGGCATTTCCTCTTCCCAGGGGACAAACGCTTTGAGTGCGCCCAGTGTCAGAAGCGCTTCATGAGGAGTGACCACCTCACCAAGCATTACAAGACCCACCTGGTCACGAAGAACTTGTAAGGCCAACTGCGGTGGGAGGCCCTGAAGATGCAATCCCCCACCTGTGTCTTCCCTGGGCCCCTGGTGGAAAAGGAGCCCTGTGGCTGCCTTGGGCCCACCCTCAGCCCCACTCCTGTTCTTCAACTGTCCCCACAGGAAGGGACTCTGCTCCCTGTACTGTCCTCCTTCCAAAGGCCATCGGCTCCGCCTTGGCCCTTCCCCTCACCACGGGCTCCTGGCCTGCCCATACTGTGGACGCTGGCCCTGCCCAATGAGACGTTCTAAACCAGGACGCGTGGGAACCCTTATTTCCAAAGGAAAAACATGCATTTCACTCCGTCGAGGAGCAAAGTGAGCCCCCACTCCCTACCCCAATCCCCACTCCCAACAATTCCCGCTCCCAACACTGCCGGAGTCGCATCGTGCCATGCCCCCTCTCCTGCACCTCCCCGGCCCTGCTGGCCACTGTGGATGCCCTGGGGCTTGGCACCCACCTCTGGAGAGACTTGGCACCCACCTCTGGGGCCACCTCCACTCCATGTGCCCAGCCCTGCCACAACTTCTCCTCCAGCACATTCCAGCTCTATTTAAAAAGTAAAGATACCCACCGACTCTTCCTGATCCCTCTCTTTTTCTATGGAGAACGTTGCCTTATACTCTCTACTTCAGATGATGAACACTGTGTACTGTGTGTGCTTTAAAGAAGTTTATTTAATTGCTCCCTTCTCCTTTCCTTGTTATTCACCCCCCACATGCCGGCTTTCAGTTGAGGGTTTTGGAGGGCAATGATGAGCGTATGAATATTTTTCTCATTCTAGTAATTCCCTTTTCTAAATGACACAGCATTTCAACTCAAATTTGAATTCAGATAACACCTGCACATCCTGAACCTCCTCCCTCTCCCTTCATCTCACCCCCGACCGGCCCAAGCTCTACTTGTGTACAGTGTATATTGTATAATAGACAATTGTGTCTACTACATGTTTAAAAAACATATTGCTTGTTATTTTTGAGGCTTTTAAATTAAACAAAAATCCAACTTTATTTTTAGTTGTAACTGCTTGAGGTATGTTTTATGAATTAAGTGACAGATTTGTTATCCTCTATTAACGTACTTTGTTGGTCGGCACTGGGCTGACAAAAATTTTTTCTTGCTAATAAATTTAGTTGCCTGAGGCAAAATCTGCAACTTGGCAGTTCGGCTTCCTTTGTCTTTTCCCCTGGAGAGCTCGGAGAGGGGACTCCAGAGGAGGGAGCTGTGGTCTCTTAGAGCGATGCACACTGGGACCAAGGTAGGACCTTGCCCTCCTGACAGTCGGCAGATCCAGGCCACATGCCCAAATGGTGCCGCAGCCACATGTTCCTCATGACACAAGCCCCCAGAGCACCTCCAAGGGCCAGGCCCAATGCAGGTGTTCCTGCTTTTTTCTTCCATAAGCCAGTTTTGCTTGTACACAAAGCAGATACTTGTACACAGAGCCAAGTCACAGCAGTGACTTCCTCAGCCAGCAAGCTAACTATTCCACCCGCCTCCTTAACCTCTGGAGGAAGGCATTGGTCTCAGAGCCCATTAGTAAGAAGCTTAGACAGGAGAGCCAAGGGAGTCTTGGCTCAGTCCCCTCCAGAAGGCTAGTCTGGCAAAAATGCATTTCCCCAAGGGCCAAAGTCCCTTCCCAAAGTGAAGGGCCAGGCAGGTTCCTGGGAGGGCCTGGCAGCTACGGGTTCCTGAAGCCCAACTCCACCCGAGAGGACCCTGGCCACAGATTCTGGTTCCTTCTATCCCCTGCCTAGTACCCCAGAGAGAAGAAGTTGATTGTGCCTTTTGGTTATAGCAAATGCTATAAACCTGAAATTTTAGTGGGGCTCTGTTTTACTTAGTTTTGCAGAGCTTTTAGGAAGTCAGGGGTTGTGATGTGGTGCACATTAAGATTGGAGCTAGCTCAGTACATGTGTTTAAGCCCCACAGGGCCCTGAAGAGCATCCACCCTGAAGAGACAGGCAAGTCTGCTTCAAGCATGTAGAGGACAGCATGTGCTTTTATTCACCCTCAAAAGGACACAGCCGGGATCGCTGTTCTGTTCAGGAGTGGTGAGGCTCATTTTGAGCTATACATTCCCCTTTGTCATCAGCCACCTGTGCCAGCAAACAGCTTTTCCTTAGAACCAGTCAACCCTCAAACGGCTGAAAAAGTAAAAAGCCCACAGGTCTCAGACGGATCCAGGTTCTCTGCCCTTTACTACTTCTTTGTTAACAAGAAGGGGGCCTTTCTTACTGCTACTGAAGCCCTGTGGACAATATTAGACCACCAGCTGAATCCAGCTTGGCACAGAAGCCTCTTCCTCAGCCCCTCAGCTCTGCATCTCATGGACTGCATCATGCTTGGACTACATGACTAGAGAACTGCCTTGCTGTGTTCTGAATAAGGGATTGGTGGAGAGAAGGGGAATATTAACTAAGTGACCTGTTTCTGCCACATGTTTCCCTTGGCTTTGCTCTCAGGCACAAAGAAGGATCCTTTCCTGGGACCTGATTCCAAGCTGTGTGTTTTATGTTTCCAGTAAAGAAACTGACCTGACTCTGCAGCATCATTTGGAAATGAAGGTGCCAGCCCCCAGCTGGGCAGGATGAATATTTCCCTTGTAGGATTTCCCTTCTCCAGTGAGATGGGGGTTCAAAAGTTATGTCTGATCACCTCTGCCTCCCATGGGATGGCTGAGTTAGGGAGCGAGAGAATGTATTCTGCCTAGCCGAGTGATGGCACCAAGAAAGCACAGAAAGACTTACAGGCCAATTGGCCCTCCTCTGGCTCTAACCTATCCTTTGTTTGAGAGTTGCAGGGGAACTGTTGAAGGAGTAATGCAGCCTAAGCTCACCCTAGGCAAGAGGCTCCCACAGACACCTGATCCTGATGGGCCCTTGATGGAAATCTGGGTGGGGGCCCCACATGTGTGGTTCCTCCTCTGCCCTCTTCCATCCCCACCGTCATTTGTACCAAAGGCCATCCCTCATACCCCTCCTCTCTGTCCAGCTGACACTCAACACTGGGCTCATTATCCCAGAAACTAGGATTCCATGCCTGGAAGAAAAGGGGATGGGGCAAGATTTCCCTCCTGAAGGCAAATTTAGGCATTATATGTACTTGTTTTGTTTGTTTGTTTTTTTTACCAGACCCGCAAATGGGGCTTCCTTGCCCTTCCTTCAAACCACCCAGTCCATTTTAAAAATCATCTTTTTGGCCAGGTGTGGTGGCTCATGCCTGTAATCTCAGCACTTTGGGAGGCCAAGGCAGGGGGATCACTTGAGGGCAGGAGTTTGAAACCAGCCTGGCCAAAATAGCAAAACCCCATCTCTACTAAAAAATATAATAATTAGCTGGGCGTGGGGGCTCGTGCCTGTAATCCCAACACTTTGGGAGGCCGAGGTGGGCGAATCACCTGAGGTCAGGAGTTCAAGACCAGCCTGGGCAACATGATGAAACCCCGTCTCTACTAAAAACACAAAAATTGTCTTAGCAGTGGATCACTTAAAAAATTGGCCAAGCATGGTGGCTCACGCCTATAATCCCAGCACTTTGGGAGGCGGATCACCTGAGGTCAGCAGTTTGAGAGCAGCATGGACAACATGGTGAAACCCGGTCTCTAATAAAAACACAAAAATTAGCTGGGTATGGTGATGGGTGCCTGTAATCCCAACTATTCAGGAGGCTGAGGCAGGGCGCCTGTAATCCCAACTATTCAGGAGGCTGAGGCAGGGCGCCTGTAATCCCAACTATTCAGGAGGCTGAGGCAGGGCGCCTGTAATCCCAACTATTCAGGAGGCTGAGGCAGGGCACCTGTAATCCCAACTATTCAGGAGGCTGAGGCAGAAGAATTGCTTGAGCGGGAAGGCAAAGGTTACAGTGAGCTGAGACGGTTCCATTGTACTCCAGCCTGGGCAACAGAGTGAGACTCTGTGTGTATATATGTATATACATATATATACATACACACACACAAAAAAAAAATTAGCCAGATGTGGTGATACATGCCTGTAATCCCAGCTACTTGGGAGGCTGAGGCACAAGAATCGCTTGAACCTGGAAGGCGGAGGTTGTAGTGAGCGAAGAATGCACTCCAGCTTCAGTGACAGAGCCAGACCCTGTCTCAAAAAAAAAAAGGCCGGCGGACATGGTGACTCACACCTGTAATCCCAGCACTTTGGGAGGCTGAGGCAGGCAGATCATGAGGTCAAGAGATCGAGACCATCTTGGCCAACAAGGTGAAAACCCGTCTCTCCTAAAAATACAAAAATTAGCTGAGGGTGGTGGTGTGCACCTAGAGTCCCAGCTACTTGGGAGACTGAAGCAAGAGAATCGCTTGAACCCAGGAGGCAGAGGTTGTAGTGAGCTGAGATCATGCCATTGTACTCCAGCCTGGGCGACAGAGCAAGACTCTGTCTCAAAAAAATAAAATCATTTTTCCAGTGCCCTTGTGAGGCTCCATGCTTGTTTGATGACAATGCTGGTTATAGCCCAACCACACATGATGCATTTTGAGGAAGACAGAATGGAGCAAGAGAAGGGTTCAGACCTAGCCCCAAGCCCAGGGTGGCTGGGTAGGAGCCCTGAGTGGATAGATGCAAGCTGTCCTCGTCTAAGTGCAGAGAACAGGATCTCCATTCGAGTCTTCCACTGCCCAAACCTGAGACCCTTTTAAGGTTGCACCCGCCATACCCAGAAATTGGACCAAAGAAGTTAAACTGTTGATTATTTCAATTCTGAATAAAAATGAAGGCATCTTCTCTGCCTCTTAAGGCCTGGTCTGTGCTTGGCTCCTTCATGACTAGAGCAGTGCTCTAGGTAGGACCCCTTGCCTTCCTCCCTCTATCTGCGTTTAGGAGCCCTCCTAGTTAGCCTGGGGTTCATTTCAATCCCCACTGCTATTCTCTCTTCCTGGGGTTCACCTCAAGCCCCACTGCTATTCAACCCCCCTCCTCCTCTGAGGCAGGAGAATTACTTGAAGCCAGGAGGCGGAGGTGGCAATGAGCCAAGATTGCGTCATTGCACTCCAGCCTGGGCAACAGAACAAGACTCTGTCTCAAAAAATAAAAAAAAAAAGCAGGATCAGTTTCAGCCCTTGAGCTACCAGTTTGTGACTTCTGCATCATCCATTCCCTCTTCCCTGGCCAGTAACATCCTTTCCACCCGCTGATAGCCCCCTACCTCTCAGTCTTCCCTTCTCTAAGTTACAGGATCACAACAGCCAAAACATTTTTGTGTTTTTTGGGTTTTTTTGTTTTTGTTTTTTTTGAGATGGAGTTTTGCTCTTGTTACCCAGGCTGGAGTGCAATGGTGCCATTTCGGCTCACCACAACCTCCGCCTCCTGAGTTCAAACAATTCTCCTACCTCAGCCTCCCAAGTAGCTGGGACTACAGGCACACGCCACCATGCCCAGCTAATTTTTTGTATTTTTAGTAGAGACGGGGTTTCACCTTGTTGACCAGGATGGTCATGATCTCTTGACCTCGTGATCCACCCTCCTCGGCCTCCCAAAGTGCTGGGATTACAGGCTTGAGCCACTGTGCCCGGCCAAAATGTTTTTTTTTGTTTGTTTGTTTTGAGACAGGCTCTTGCTCTGTCACCCAGGTTGGAGTGCAGTGGTGCAATCTTGGCTCACAGCAACCTCCACCTCCCAGGTTCAAGTGATTCTCATGCCTCAGCCTCCTGAGTAGCTGGGATTACAGGTGCCCACCAACAGACCCAGCTCATTTTTTGTATTTTTAGTAAAGAGCTTTCACTATGTTGGCAAGCCTGGTCTCAAACTCCTGACCTCAGGTGATCTACCTGCCTCAGTTTCCCAAAGTGCTGGGATTACAGGCATGAGCCACTGTCCCTGGCCACCAAAATGATTTAACCTGCTGCCCAAAAGATTATCAAAGTGAAAGGAGGCAACTGCCCAAAGCAAGTGGGACAGCCCCTGGGTTAGACAACTGGCCTCAGTGTCCAAAGGCTTATGTGCCTGTTGCTTCTGCTTCTTCCTCTGGCTGTGAGGGGTGAACAGGATTCTCAGTTCCTCTCCTCCACCAGGCCCCCAACACACTGACCTTTCCTAGAGGTCCTTAGACCAGCACTGACCCCTCCAGTGGGGGCAGGCAAACAGCTTTTCAGTGGACTGCAGTTGTGAGATGTACACCCCTGAGTTTTGGGTCAG